CCCTATGGCCTTGAGAAAGGCCAAATTAATTGAACCCCCTCCGACGTAAAGAAGAGGGTCTCCAGCGTTTAAAGACAAGAGAAAACGACGGGGAGATTTTGGATAAACTGGAGTGAAGGCAGCAGCAGCAGCAGACTCGCCGCTGCAGCAGCAGCGCGAACAAACCCCACGCTGCTGCTGCTGCTGCTGCTGCTGCTGCTGGTAGGAGCGCTGCTTGTGGGCTAGGGGGGTGTGGGGCCGAACTCGCCGGGCTCCTTGTAGGGTGCCCTGCAGCAGCTGCTGCTGCTGCTTATGCTGTTGCTGCTGCTGCTGCTGCTGCTGCTCATGCTGCTGTTCTTCGGGCTCCGCCTCCTCCTGCTGCTGTTTCTCCTCGTCGTGCTGCTCTTCTTCTTGCTGCTGCTGCTGCTCTTCTGCCTGCTGCTGCTGCTGCTGCTGCAGCGTGGAATTGATTAGGCTGTAGCGCCGCTGCCGTTTGTTTGCTGCTGCTTCTGTGTCTGTCTCTGTCGCCGCTGCGGCTTCCAGGAGCTCGTTTTTTTGCTGCTGGCTGCTGCTGCTGCTGCAGTTGCTGCTGCTGCTGCAGTTGCTGCCGCTGCAGCAGCAGCAGCGCTCGGTGCCCTTCGGAGGCTGTGGGGCCCCTGGGTGTACGTGCAGCAGAAAACGGAGGCCCCCAAAGCGAAGACAGCGGCGAGAGTGAGAGCTGCAGCAGCAGCCAGAGAGCGCCATTTGCAGCAGCAGCAGCAGCAGCAGCGGGAGGGGCCGCAGTAGCTGCGGCTGCAGCAAAGCCGCGAGTAACAGGCGCTGCAGCAGCAGCAGCAAGGGCCTCCAGAGACCCCAGGGGGCCCCTTCAGCAGGGGGCCCCAAGAGGAGGGTTTGGGGTGTATGTGCAGCTGGGGTGTACGGAAAGCTGGGGGTTTGGGGTGTAAACGGCGAAAATGGGAAAAAAAGGCGAGGAGTTCGAAAAAGAGGTTTAAAGTTCTTTCTTTTACGTATTTTATTTAATTTTGCATTTTAATTGCAATTTAGTTGCAATTTAGTTGCAATTTAGTTGCCATTTGATTCCTTTTTCCCCTTTTTAGCCGCCCAAGACAGCCGGGGCTGCTGGGCGGCTGCGCGTCAGGCGGCTGCGACGGCGCTGCCAGGAACCTCTTGGCCATTTCTTTTCTTTCTTTTTTGCTTTTATTAATTAAATAAGACATTAAAAAGGGTACTTAAACTCAAAAGCTGCTTCATATTCGAAAGGAGCAGCAAATAAGCCGCGAGCCGCCACCCACTGCAGCAGCAGCAGCTCCTCAAGTCTTCTTCCGGCTGCAGCAGCAGCAGCAGCAGCAACAGCGGCAGCAACGCCCACAGCAGCACCGCCGGCGCCAGCGGCTGCAGCCCAGCAGCAGCAGCAGCGGCGGTGACCCGAGCAGCAGCAGCAGCAGCAGCAGCGACCCAAGCAGCAGCACCACCGGAAGCCGCAGCGCAGCAGCAGCAGCAGCAACACAGCAAGCAGCAGCAGCAGCAGCAACACAGCAAGCAGCAGCAGCAGCAGCAGCAGGAAAATGGAGGTGGACGGCGCAGCCTCGGATGTTTCTTGGGTCTCGGATTTGCTGCAGCAGCAAAATGTTTCTTTTCTAGAAGCTCTTAAAGAAGAAAAAGAAAAAAGGGGCTGCCCAGACCCTCTTCTAGACTGCATGGAGACTCTCTACAACAAGAAGTGGGTCTAGGGTTTAGGGTTTAGGGTTTAGGGTTTGGGGTTTGCTGCTCTCTAGAAGCTAGGGCTACGGGCTAGGGTATAGGCTTGGTGTTTCTTATTTTGGGTCTAGAGCTAAGGGTTTAGGCCTTCAAACTTAGGGTTTAGGGTTTAGGGTTTAGGGTTTAGGGTTTAGGGTAAACCCTCTCCCCTTTGCTGAACCAAATTAACTAGTGAATTTAAACAAACCAACTACAACGAATTCATTAAAACGAATTAATTTAAATTAATTAATTTAAATTAAACAAATATATTTGTTTATTTATTTATTTATTTATTTATTTATTTATTTATTTCATTTTAGACTTTATAATGAACTCACCGACGCCTTCGCCAAATACCTCGACGTCGACTCCACAGTCGACAGTTCTGCTGCAGTCACTTGGGGCCTCCCGGGGGGCCCCCCGGGGGCCCCCCAGGGGGGCCCCCCTGGGGGCCCCCCGGGGGGCCCCCGGGGGGGCCCCCGGGGGGGGCGCCGGGGGGGCCGCCCGGGGGGGC